CACTTGGCTCTGTTTGACAAGCCATGCAGCAGCCCAGCTGGGCAAGAGCTGGGCTAGATGGGAGACCAGCAGACATCAGCCCCTGGCCACTGGTTAGCTGCAGGAGCATACTATTTGCAGCACAAGCGTCACAGTCCTGCTGTCTTCTCCTCCCCTGGAGCCCTGGGCAGCAAGCTTATGACGTGTGGGTTCACCACAAGTAATCCACCCCTCCTCCTGGGGTGAGCACCGCGGTGGCCCAGCTCCAGCCACTGCCTCCCTGCCAAAGGAAAGGAAGAGAGCAGCTCACTGCGCCAGCTGGGTGCAGAGCCAGGAACAAGGATGTGCTGGCAAGGAAGAAAACTATCCCTGGGCTACCTGCAGCCGAGTAGCAGTCTTAAGAGGGAATAGAACAACTGAATCGGCTTTTATTCAGCTCACTCACCTAAACAGACATATAAACAAGAAGTGACAAGACCTGGAGGGACGTGGCGCGCACCTCTGTGTCACACACACCTCCTGGGAAGAGGCTGAGCTAGGTGGAAGAGTGGACATCTGCACTATCCCCTGCCTGGCAGCGGGAGGAGAAATGTCAGCCAAGCCTCCCGAGGAGGTGGGGATCCTTAAAGATGGGTTTGACTGATTTGTTTCTGGGCTTCTGAAGCTGTAGCATCAGCATTTGCTGGTGTTGCAATCCCCAGAGGCATGCTGCACTGCTACAGAGCAGCCCTTTGGCTGGGTGGGATGGTCCGACAGGCTGGCAGCAGGCTGTCACGCCTGCTTTGTTGCTACCTGTGCCTGGTTCTTTGTAAACCTGAGCTGTTTCTTCCCTGGTCCCCCACCTTCCCCAGGAGTCATTGCGGAGGAAGCGGGATGCCCCGTGGGTCAGTGACTTGACCCTCCTGCAGGTTCTTGACGAGCTGAGCCAGCCAGCGTTTGGTGGTGGTATCATCCTTCAGGACCTGGGCGAAGGTGGTGTCCTTCAGCTGGTCAGGAAGGCACTGCCTGAGAGCTTCACGTGCCCTACATCAAGAGACAAGAAACGGGGCCCAACAAATAAACTCACAGGGGCAAGAGGGGAACAAACCCCACTGGGGACACCATGCTCCTTTACCTGAGGGTCTCCTGGTGGGACCAACTGAGGAAAGCACCGAGCACAGCACCGAGCAGCACCACCACTGCAGCATGTGGTGCTCAGCCAGCCAGCACAGCTCCCACCCCTCACACTGACCCCACTGAGCCAACCCCTGTGCCCTGACATCCATCAGTCAAGAGCAATCTGATGCCAGGAAAGGCCAAGACAACAAATACACACTGAGCAGCTCTGGCCATGAAACTAACATGTATTCCCTCAACTGAATTCCATCTATTGGCTTCTACTGCTAACAGTACCCATGATGCAGCAGAGGGAGAGCATAGTGCACCTTCCACTCCAGTTCCTACCTCGTATCTCATTCAAGCTACATTTGAGCTCAGGCAGTCGTAACCTGCACAAGCCCCAAACACTGTTTTCCCCATGTACCATAAAAGCTCCTGAGACTAGCAATACAAAAACCCAAACCCCCAAACAAACCAAAAAAACCCATTTTTCACGCTGCACTGAAGGCTGACGCAAGGACAGACAGGGAACCTTGACTGTCCCTGAGTGGGCACCATGGAGAAGAACTGTGCCTCCCAGGGAGCAGGAGAAGCCCCTGACCAAACTCCTAAAATGTTTACCTGGGGTTATCGGAAAGGCGAAGGTAGCAGCGGACAACATGTTTCAGCAGCCGTGCCGACGGCTCCTTGGAGAGCTGCAGGACCATTTTACCCTGTTTGAGAGACCAGTGCCACCAGTTAAAAGTCTTTCTACAAACAGCTTCACAATCAGCAAAGAATGGGGAAAACCATTAAATCACTCACCCTGGTTTCCCACACATCACAGCCTATTACCTCTCAGCTCGATACCCCCATATGGAGCCTGGTGCTCTGCTTGCCAAGATGCCTTTGAGTGGAACAGCTAGCCATGGCTTGGAATAGATTCTCCCAGCATCTCAGGGAAAGCTTGTCTCATCTCTCTTTGTTGTTCACCTCCCCATGACTGCTTAGTGGTCCAACTATCTGCTACATTAAAGAGAACCTGGGGCTTCCCCCTCATGGAGGAAGGTGAACATAACCCAGCTGCTTTCATAAACTCAGGCTGAGTCACCCCTTGATGTGTGTTCCCAAGCTCTGCAACACTCTCTGTTCCCATCTGTGCTGCCTTCAACACCCTTTTAAAACGTTACCAGCAGCCTGGGAAGCCATGCCGAAGGACTGGGCTCACCCACACTAGGGACAGTAAGATCCACATCTGATCTTATGCACCCAACAGTTGTATTCTCGCTTTCCACTACATCCTTCAGTAAGCCATTAGTGGGAAGCAAGAGCAGGGCAGAGGTCCCCAGCCCAGCCTCTATGTCTCACACCATCTAGGTCTTTGCACATGATTGCACCTTTGAACACACCCAGCCTAGAGAACAGTGCTATGCCTTCATATGCCTGCTTTGAAGGACTTTAACAATCCGCTTCCGCATGTTTAGGAGTCAATCAGATCTGCCCAGTGAGTTTTTTTTTCCTGTAAAACTACCTTGGCTAGCACTAAGCATTTCTCACATTAGTCAAATTCACCTGTATTTGGATATTTAGGCAGTGAGCAATTAGCAGGTCCCCCTCGTCTGCCCTTTTGCAAGCTTCCTGCTCTCAGCAATTCTCCAGGATGCCAGTATTTCTTCTAAATAAAGAACAACAAGTCAAAGAGTTCCTCACACGGCTCCTGGATGGGAAATGCTAACTTGATCTTCTAAAAGCATCTAATGCTTGTGTAACATCTTACTCTATTATCAGCAGACAAGGACGTAAATCATCACCCTCATGAGACAGGAGTACACCATCCTGATTTTTTAAATAGACAACAGAAATGTCTATGAACATTTTAATTTTTCTCCGCAGCACTACAGAATATTAATCATGCCAGTGCTTCACCCAATGGAGGGATTATCCCAGAGCGAGGACTTCTTCCATGTTAACACACCTTTATGTGCTCACATCCTTTTGTCTTTGCACCATTCACAGCCATGGATTCTTCCTTGGCCTCCCCTATCCCAGGGTTTCTAATTGCATCCTTCGCTTTGCCCCCAAGTCAGGTCTACTTTCACCAAAGCCAATCCTTTTCTTGAATGCAAAAACCATGTCCCATTGGATATTACAGACATCCACTCCCAATCATTCATATTTTGCTGTTTGTGGGTGAATTAGGAGGAAACATTTTCTTTACGATTGGGAAACAGACAAATAAATACTCGAAATGAAAGCATTAACATTTAGGCACAGAACCAGCACTGCAAAGCGCTTAACGTAATGCTGCATTTTCTTCTCCCGAGACTGATATTTAAAAGGCAAACAACCAACAAATCAAACACAAAAGCAGGACAATAGCTATTCCAGGGCAGACATGTATTCCCTTTGGCAAGCTCAAAGATAATAAAGCTCAAGCTGGGGCTATTACTCCTGGATGAACAATTATGAGTACCCAAGCTTCTCCTTCACAGGGGACAGGGAATGGGCAAAAATATTCTGTTTTCTCAGCTTTCCAAGACAAGAATTAGAGTCATAAGCAGCAGCTAGTAGGACTCAGGTTGAAAGAGGGAAAAAAAGAGGAGGTTGCCCTTCCAGGCAGCAAACAGGAAACCCATGAAACAACTTGGGAAAGGACCCAGTGGATGCAAAAAGTTTCCATGAATTCAAGGGGAGGATAGGACAAACACTGGGGCTTACTGCATAGAAAACCCACAATGGGCCCCAGAAATCCAAAGCTGAAAATAGCTGCAGCTGCAGGACTGTTACAAGGGCAAGTATCATATATGCTGGCCCTGCTTTTACTCCTTTGCTCAGCCTGCTGCTCTACTGTCGAGACAGAGGTCGGAAATGGATTCATGGTCTGAGCTGTGTGATTATTCTTACATAAATAATTCATATCCAACCAAGAACCCTGAAAACTCTTTTTCTTCTCTGGAGATGTTTAATCAGTTTATCTTGGGGACTTGTATATTACAACTAATATGTGTTCTCTTGGCACACAAACCAGAGATACACAAAGGAAACATGCAGAAGCAGAGAACTACAGTGTCACAAGCAATAAGCCCAAGACCCATTTGCCTCCCTCATCCTCTGCTCCAGCCAGAGAGCAGCGAAGCAGCTCCTGAAGAAGCTGGCTGCTAGAGCATTTTTTTTTTTTTTTTAAATACAAGCCTAAATATTTTAAACCAAATAATCTTACCAGTATCATGGCAACATGGGAAAACCGCTCATAAGTCTGACAGATATATGCCAGCCCCGTGTCATCCAGGAGGATTTTCTGAAGAATAAATGTAGCAACCTAGAACAGGGAGAAAGCAGAAAAGAAACCATATAAACAACTTGTCTATCCTGAAAAGGACACCCTTTGTGCTGCGTTCTTTTCAAGGCAGGCCCAGAGCTGATAGGCCTTTCAGCAGGCAGCAAATGCTTTACTCAGTGAAAGTTTAAAGCCAAAGAAAATGCAGGACACTACACAATGTTTGGCATCTCTGGCTAAAGAAAAGAGATGGACACAAAGCAGTGTGTACAAGACAACTGGATGCAGGTTGTGTAAGTCAGCAACTACTGCCAGGCTGCTCAGGACAGCCTCCAGCCTCAGGATTACAGTCACACTACTCTGGTCACAGAGCAAGAAGCAGAAGGGTCTGTCCCTTGGCCCTGCAAGCCAATTTCAGTTCTCATCTTGAGCGTCACCAATTTATCATGACACATGTGACTTTCTGGAAGAACCTCAGGCAGCTATGTCTGCAGGCTTCATCAGAGAAGCACACACAGGCTAAAACCTCTGTCCAACCTCCTTGGGTCATTGGACCAGTCTAAGCAAAGATCTGAGCTCATGAGGAAAAGCAGCTCTGGATCAGAGAAGACAGCAATCTGGCCCAGTGTGGTGAAGATTCCCATAACCGCCACTAACAGCTGCCATCCAGCCTCTACACTGCACATCTACAACATTTGTTCTCCCAGGCCAAGGGAAGTTGGTCCAGCTCAGCCCTGAAAGTTACTCTTAAGGGCTGCAAAGGAGGGAACAGGTGTTGAAAGCAGCTAAATCTTCCCCAGCAAAATTACCAAGCTCAGGAACTCCAGTTTAGTTTGGTCATTTTGGTTTGTTCTTCGGAGGAGATAAAAACCCCATCCAGAATTGCCCCAACATTTGCAAGAGGACACAAGCCAACTCGTCAGGTTACTGGCTGCCTGGTCAGTCAGAGATAAGCAACAACAAATCTTAATTAAGACAAAAAGAATAGGTACCGTTTTGGAGAGTTCACTGCCGGACTCCATAATGCGCAAGCACAGAGGGATAATTTCTGTGGTCAATAAGAAATTTATCACTTCTTGCTCATCAGTTTTTACCAAGGCCCCTGGAAGGAAACACAAACCCAAAATCAATAAATGATAAATTGTTTCAAAAAATCTCACCTTTCAAAGGCAGCCTGTGCTGTGTCCTCCACAGGAATCAAAAAGTCTGTACGGCAGGCTGAGCAACTGTCAGTCTGAGCAACTGTCAGCCTAAATGTGTTGCAGCACATGGCTGGAGAAGAAGTCACTTTGGCAGCATAAAAGTAATCAAGCTGAGTTTGGGGATTGTTTGTTTTTCAGAAAGGGGATGCATTCTTGGCTGTCCCCCAGTGGTAACACAAACATAAGTGGATTATGACACCCACAGCAATCTCTGGGAAGAAGAAATGCATTTTAAGACCATTTTTCTTTATGCACTGAGAGATAAATGTTTTAGGCAGAAAGGAAAAAACCCAACAACAAACAAAACCAACAAAACAACACAGTAAAGGGAAGACAGGGCAAATGCACCCAAGTCAATGACAAAACCCAAAGAAAGCCCAGTCTGTGCCCACCCATGCCAGTCTCTAGCTCACTGGGCTGAGGGTGAAGGCACAAGAAGCCTGCAGGTGCTTGCATCCACAGGGAACATATTTCTGTCAATGCATCCAGACCAGTGTTTTCTTACTAGTGAGAAGCCCAGTTCCTACACAGGAAGAGGAACCTGCCTCCAGAACTGGTGAAAAACAATCAGGTCTTTCTGTTAATACTACATGACTCAGAAGATCCCAATAAAGACAGACCTGTGATTTTGGTCCTGCAGGTCTTGCCTGCATGAAGTGCATCCAACCTGATAAAAACCAGTGCTCCAGCATTAGTTCAGCTGCTTACCAATCACTCCGAGACTCGTCAGCCGCAGGTACTCAAATGGACGTGTCTTGCTCACTGTGTGCAAGAAGGGGTACAGGAAGAGAGGGATATGAGCTGCCAGAAAAGCTGACCTGTTGGAACGGAAGAACACCCAATGTGAGACACAAGGAAAACAATCCAGCATTGCCATGCAGAGCTTCAGACTATTCCTGACAGACACCATTGCTGCTGCTCCTCAAAAGAGGATAACAGTTTGTTCTCTGATGGAAAGGTATGAAGCAAATTCTGCACTGGGTGCAGCACAAAACCTAACACCAAAACTGTCAGTTACCTGCATTGCTGCTTCCAGCAGACCAGGAACAGAGCACATCCTGTCATTTTTATTACCTCTTCCTGCTACCCAGACCCTCTGCTTTGTACATTTACTGTTGCACTTCACTTTGCTGGCTCCCATGAGCAGGGACATCAGTCACAATGCATACATAAAGCCTTTACATGGCAGAGATCCAGACAGGCTGATATCTAGGCATTACCACAGTTTAAATGTGCACAGCCAACTCTCCCCAAGAGTCCTCACACTGCCTTCTGACCATGGGTGAAACCTGGAGCTTATTCTGCTACCAGAGGGAATGTCTTTTTCACAATCATTCAACATTCATCCTCCCTTCTCAGTTTTCAAACTTTAAATGTAAAGGTGTGTGGTGTAAAACTATCCCATTTCTTTGGATATCATCTCACGGAAGGTTGCTACTTAAGACTACTTTGCAGCAGCTGAAAAACAACTTCAGGTATGCATGATTTCTTCTCAGCAGGCACAGAAGCATGATGTCATGGATCTCTGAATCAACATAATTTTTTCCCTGCTGACATGGGCTGGGCACAGATTGAGAAAACCTGAAGTCAGGCACTGGCTGAGGACTCCAGACATGGCTCTGCTATTGCTCCCTTACTACACATGGTCTCTGGGAAGGACAGTCCTGCTCATTCAACCCTTTGGACAGCTGGTCTAAGTAACTGTAAGCTGCTGTTCTAAATAACTGTAAGCTTATTAAAACAAAGATCTTGCAAACAGCACTCAGCACAAAGGCACCCTTATCTCTGGCTGAGCTCCCAGGATCTGCCAAAACCCAATGTTTTTGGAATTTCAGGATCTCAGGATTATCCAGGGAATGCAATGCATTTAGGACCAGCATGAAGCTGTCATCTTGATAATCCACGCAAACAAGTGAAAGCAGTAGGCAGCTGTTTATCTTCCAGCTTTGTCCCCTGTTCCCCTTCTCCTGGTAAAAAAGAAGGAGCTTACGTGCTTCTGGAGTCAGTCAGACAGCCAGGCTGGGCTGTCAGCATCAACACCTCAGAGAACTCATGCACTTGGAAACACTTACCTTGTTTCAGGATGCGATGCAACACACTGTAGCAGAGCTAAAGCATTGCAGACTCTGTTGGACTGATGAGCTGTCAGAGTCGGAGGGTTGATTGATGGATAAATATTTACAATTTCCTAAAAATTAACAGGTGAAGAAAAGTTACAGGAGAAAAACACCAGAAAGCTGCATCAAAGAATTTGCCCAGCAAGGAACTATGGTGACAGGAGATAACAGTCTGCTTTTACCACACATCCCTTTGAAGTTACATGGCAGCTACCACACTGCCCAGGCAAGGGCAGAGCTGGGTCAAAGTCAATTTGACAAGGAGTCACAGTAATGCCTTCAAACCTTAATTTCAGCAAAAAAGGGTTCATTTGATTTCCTGGCTCTTTACTAGTGTAGGAACAGCTTTGTTTTGAACTTCCAGATCGAAGAGGAGTATTGTTCCTGTGCCTAGAGGCAGAGCATACCCACTCCATTCATACTGTAGCTGCTGATACGCTTCTAACTCAATGCACGAGAAGCAGCTGAGGGTGAGAAATCTAGTTCAGAAATTTGCCTGCTTCCAACTATAGCTCTCTTATAATTTTCTTCACTTGTTTCAGGGGCACTCTGAGAACAGATTGACATTGCCAATGCTGCACTCTTTTTCTTTCCTTCTTCGAAAGAAATTACTAGATTGGCACTGAGACAGAGCCAGTCATCAGCTGTAGAGCAGTTTGCCTGCAGACAAGCTGAGCCACTCAGTTGCACATGAAATGCAGGTACGTTCCCTTGCAAGGATCTCTGGGGCAGCGAGCAGCATTCCCCTGCTGCCCTTCCAGCGGGCTCCCTGCAAGGGCAACCTTCTGACCAGGAAGTGCTCAAACTCATGCAAAACAAATCAAAGCAGAGATCTTAGGAGTAAGACTGTTGTGGCTACTATGACATGGTATGAAAATGAGCAGAGTATGATCTGCAGGAAGCTCATACACCAAAGAACTTGGCTGTTCCTCTTCCAACTATGTAAGCTGCCTAATTAGAATCATGCAGTCTCTGCACACATTGTCTTGCTAGTGATGATTAATGGCAAATGGGCTTCCCACATCTGCTCCCTCACCACATGATCCAAAATACATCATTCTTCCAGCAATGTCAGTAAGGGACCCTACCAGTGCCTCCCCTATGGACACACAAGCTCTGCAATGTGCTGGCACTGCACCAGGGAATAAAGACACCACCTGAATCTTACCCACCTGAAGGAGCGCTGCGATGGTGCCAAAGGAGTGCCACAGCATCGGGGCAAGGTCAGGCACAGATTCACGCTTCTTGCTCAGCTCCAGCAGCGCATTCTCCCTTGTCTCAGGGCTGGAGAGCTCATTGATCCACTGGTAGATCTTCTCACGGTCAACCTGAGCCAGCGCCGTTGGCACAGGCTGGGAAGGAGACAGGAGAACGTCAGTTCAAACATTTTACTCAAGACTCAGCCGAACTCTTCTCACAACCTGGCAGCTAAACAAAAAAGTGCTCAAAACTCTCCTGACAGGGGGAGGAGGGAACTAAATCTCCATTAAGATGCTCTGGATATGGATCCCTTCCTTCAATTAGTCTTACTATTTCACCTATTTGAAACAAAGGTTAAACTTTCTGGCCTGGCTCATTAGGACAGTCCCTCTTCATCCACTTGTCAGGTACTACCTTGTAACTTCAGTCAGCAATGTAAGAGGGTCATGCTGCTGCTTGTCTGTGCCAGCAGAGCTCCTGGGGACGTCACATATATGTCACATACTTCAGCCAGCTATCATTTGCTCCACCTGCATTTAGCACACACTCATTTCATGCTTCCAGTGCACGCTTACACAAATTCAAAGTAAGGCAGATGCTACTTTTTCTCTCCAAAACCATCCATGGCATTAGAAACTGCCAATGGGATTCACCCAACATATGTGAGAAAAATATTCATACAAACACTATAAAAAAACATCACTACTCCAACATCAGCACGACACTGTTCACAGCCAGTAACACCTGCTGCCAGAGATGTCTTATATTCATCCCATGTATCTTGTTTACTTGCATGGAGGTAAAAAGCATTTTTTCAAAACTGATTTTGTGCAGAAATTCCTGTTCAAGACATACCCAGAGAAGGGCAGGTATGTATTCACAGTCAAGGCACGTTTTCTAATACTCGGGTGAAATAAAGGATTTCTCTTCTGCCTTTCTTGAAGCACCAGGGAAAGAACAGCACCAAGGCCAACAGGTTTTCAAACCAAAATAATGAGGGAGGGCTGGGAAAGAAAGGAAGAGAAGCAGGGACTGTAGAATTGTAGCTTAGTTTCTGCGGAGAAGACAAGGCACAAGGCTTTCAGTCAAAGTTTGCATCATGGCTCTGCTGGCACAACAAGCACTCAAGGTGCAAACAAATGCTCAGCAGGCTTCCTAAGTAAAGAGCTTGGTGATTGATGTACAAAATTTGGAGGAAGACAAACATCAGCATTAAAACCTCCTGTGTGAACACTTTCAAAAGCCAGTTCAAAATCTATTTAAACATTCTGCTGTGGTGTTTACTACTTAAGTAAAGCACAGCCCCATCTGCACACTGCTGCTCCCAAGCTTGCCTGCACGCAGACAGCTCAGCATCCCCACAGCTGTGTACAGCAGCCACGTCTGGGAACAGTGAATAGACTGTTCGGTTTTAACTCAAACCCAGGCTGAAACTCTTCTTGTGCTTACTACACCAGACGAGAGCATTGCCTGACTGCACTGACAGCATCACTGCTATTAAGCAGCTCATCACTCAGGCACTGAATACAAAGGAGTTCAGGAACTGAAAGTGGCTGGAACCAAACCTGAAGCCATATAGCAGAGGTGGGCTCACAGAGCTGCAGGGGGGATGAAGGAAGAGTTCTTAACTTTTGGCAGGCACCTCCAGGGCTTTTTCTCTCTATTTCTGCAAAGGTTTCCCTCCTCCATTCATCCACATATTGCATCCATAGTCATATCCAAAGAGACTCTTCCCCAGCTGTGGGATTTCTCCCTCCTCTATCTACTTGCACCCCATTAACTTAAATCTTTATACGTAAGCCAACATGCTGTTACCAATTCCTGTACTCAAGGGCTCAAATACCTTTTTAGCTCTTCATCTTTCCTCCTCTTCTCTTTTTTCTCTTGTCTACTCATTTTTATTTGTACTTTTTTTCCAGAACCTCACACTAAATTAGTAACCCTGACAAATGCATTGCATTTACACCTGAGAGTGCAATTCCAATGGCAACACTGACACTGTAGCTCAGAAAGAGAGGGAGAATGAACAGAGCTCATTTGTTTTTATTTGGGATGATAGTGACAAGCAGTGCAGCAATAATGTTGTTATAACTGTGTTATCTAAAGCTTCCATCTATTTTTCTAGACTCACTGAAGTTTCAGTTCCTGTAAGCTGAAATACATCGACCCTTTAAAAGCACAATCATGTGCTTGTGATCCCTAGAGAACACTAAGTAGTTTTTCCACACAATTAAGTTTATGATGTTCGATATCTGTCCTAGCCAGAACCAACTGCCTTTCACAGGCTCTACAGTTGCTCCTCTCACTTTAAATTGAAAGACTTCTTTTGTTTTTCTGATTTCCTTCTCTATTGCTATTCCCCTTTCTCCTTCTGAAACCTAACATTCTGGAGAGCCCTGAGGTTTACATACAAACCCTGGAAGCTTCGAGACAGAACCCTGCCAGGCAGACTCTCTTTTGCATTCAAGAAAAGCAAAAGTTCCCAACAGTGTCTCAACACAGCACAAACTGGCCACCTCTGCATCAGAAAAGACCCTCCTCAGGAGAAACAGCAGGACCTCCAACAGCCAAGCCCAATCGCATCTCCAACAAGTACATAATGAACTGGATTTAGGCAACTGGCTCTCTTTTCCTAATTGTGCAGTTGCTGCCAGGCACACTTGTCAAAGTACTGGTCAGCCAAAGCAGAATGTTGATTAACTCGATAGATGTGGGTTCTAAATTATTTTGATAGATCACCAACTCAAAACCACCAAAATGAACTTTGAACTTCCACAGCTCTGAATTAGCTGATTTGTGTTGGGCTTTCAAACCCTTACTGCTAGTTACAGCTGCATTTATTGCTTTGAGCCTATTTTCAAGCCTCTAGCATGTTATGCTGTCTTCTGGTCTGAAATCAAAGTGTCAGCTCTGCTGACACCAGCTTCACCAGTGCTCTGGCTTACACAGCTTTAGCATGACAGAGATCACCGAAAGGAAGTCCTGAGCCAATTCATGACCCTCCTAAGAGGCAAAGTTATTCACCACGGCTCCTAAGCACATCTCCAGAGCCAAAGACCCTTCCCTGTCACTTTCAGTCTAAGCATGCCAACCAACCGCAGTAAGAAACATTTCAATACAGAACTACCATGTGGCATGAATTATGTATAAATTAAACATACATCCAAATGAGTCCCAATTAAATTTTATTTCTATTCTTGAAATAAGTTGTTAAAATGGTCTTAATAAAGAAATATCCTTTTATAGAGAGATGACTAGGACACAAAGGATTAATGGGAGATACAACAGTCAGTCATGCATTTTGACAAGTGCTTAGGAACTATATTACTACAAAAACGTAAATGCTGATTGAGAGAGTTCACTGTGATCTCACACACTTCTCTTTGCTCTAGGAACTGTCACTTCAAATCAGAAGTATTTGCCAGCTTTAAAGTCACAAGCACCCAAACAAAGTGGGAAGACTTAAAAAGTCCTCTCGACTCCTGCTCGCAAGTACCTTACTCAATATTGTTTGCTTGTTAGTCCACGCAGAACCTTCAGCTAAATTAACCTGAAAAGAGCTCTAACTGCTGCTCTTGCAACACACCTCCCAAACCCAATATTCACCAGAGATGTAATCAGCCCCTGCAATTCTTACACACACAACGAACGTGCACTTGGAGAAGTGAAAACAAAAACACCAGCCTCCTCAGATGGAAAATAAGATGCAATAACCACATCATTCAAACTCGGCTTCCATTTCCGAACCCAACCAGGCCAAAGTGACAGACAGCACTGCAAGGTACTGGGGAAAAGGGGGAGTAGGAACGAGCAGTCTGTGTCTTTCCTCCCACTTGCTGCTGCTCTGAGGAACTTTTCACTATCTCTTCTTTTCAGCTAACGCCAAAGCAAAAAGTAAAATAGCTCCCCAAGCACAGAGCAGGGACTCGAGCTGGCGCCGTCCAGGCACAAGGAGCGACGGAGAGAAACCCCGACGTGACACAGACCCGGCGGGAAGAGCGCAGCCGGGAGACCCGCCGGAGAAGCCCTCCTGGCCCTTGGCCGGGCACCCCCGTCCCCACGAGCGGCACAGCAAGGCACAGCGGCCGCG